AAAAGGTTCAATAAAATATTACTGAGAAAATTTTATTCAATGATTTCGATATTCACTTTGGTTGTTCTTATTATTTCGAACACGTCTGTACATATATATAATGATTTATTTAATATTTACAAGACTTCAGCAAATGGCGTTCTCTTGTAAAAAAAAAACTTGATATACCCTTACGAGCAATATAAGGGCACGTGACATTTTTCTCCATCCATAGGAGAGTAATCTAATCTTCGATGAAAAAATGCAACTCCGTATCCCATTACTTACCTGTCTTCGTGAAGCGTTTACTGAACTTCAATTAATTTTTTTTTTGTTCACAAAGCCTTAAAAAATGTATTATTTCAAATATTTATAATAAGTCAATTAAATCCCTAATATAATAATATGTATGAGTATTGACTCCTCTACTCAATATTATATTGCATATTGTCTTAAGAGTCACGGTCTGTCTAATACATACAGCATATATGCAACTTTACAGCTATTAGGCCCACTTAAAGCGCTGTCTCTTGGCATATGCCTACGGCGTGCGAATACGCTCACATTACTCAACGTCCAGCACGGCAGCAAAACTAAAACACACACTTAGCTACAGTGTCTGTATGGATTGCTAAGCATATATGGATGGGTGTGTAATTGTCTTTTACAAAAACTGCATGCTGACCTGTGTGTGCATTGTCTGTCAGCGCCAATGTCTCATATCCTTGCATTGAACTTAGATGTGTGCGATAAAAATCGATTAATTGGAAACCAAGGTTAGGATGGGCTATACGTCGACGGGCAATGCCTTAAATGAATAATAACTAAGATTTCTGTGTGCAATATAAATGTGCTAAATTATTATAGGCATTTCATTGTTTATAATAGCGGTTGTTCAAGGATATACATATACATCTCCTAAAATGCAAAATAACGTAAAATCACTTTTTATAAGCTTACAGGCGATGAAAACGGTTTAACAGAAACCACTCTTTTTGAAACATAATTTGACTTTTGGATATAAAATGGTTATATATGGATTAATATATTGGTTATATCGGACAACGAATGCTGGTAATTTTATGTTAAACATATGCAATACGATATAGTGAATTGTAAGCAATAAAAACTCAATTTCGATTTTTTCGATGATACGTTGTTTTGCAATTTAGGTGACAATATATAGGTACTTATATATGTATGAATACATACAATGCCACCTCAAAAATATTTTATATACACTTCAAAGAGAAATTCTTTAAGCTTTAGAGGCTTATTTATGTTTCTATTATTATTATTACTTTAATTTTTTACCTAATTTATCATTTCCTAGTCTATTTAGTATATTAATCATATTTCCTGTCTGCCTTCCACAGGTTACGTTCAACAAACGCAAATTCGGTGTCATGAAGAAGGCCTACGAGTTGTCGGTTTTGTGTGATTGTGAAATTGCGCTTATCATCTTCTCATCCAGTAATAAATTATATCAGTATGCTAGTACTGATATGGATAAGGTCCTGCTCAAATACACTGAATATAATGAGCCACACGAGTCACTCACGAATAAGAATATAATTGAGGTAAGACAAAAATATAAGCAAACAAGCACAATACCCATTAGATTAACAAAAGCGGTTGAGAATTTCTGAATTATTTTCAGGAAATTGATTTTACATGTGGCCTAGAATTGTTGCCTTTTTTCATTTCAAGAAAATCGTTTTAAGCTCAATCCAACGGTTTCGCGACCAGTTAATGGTCATATCAGTCAGAGAGCCTTGCTCTACCTTCTCTTCTTCAAACTTTCTCGTCGTTTGGGTTTCGGGAAACTGTATATGAGTCTGGACTCACTCAAACTGAAGAACGACAAACTTTTTTTGAAAACGCCAGACCCAATTTTTGGTCTGCAATTGGGAGCGACTTTACTCGGCATATGGATGTTGATCGTTATTTGTTGCTAAGGCGGTTATAAATATATAGAGTTTCTATATATTGTAGTGAATCGCTTAAAGTTCTTTAAAGTCGCTTCTGTTTGTAACGTGTGCCTGAAAGATTGGACACTACAATGAAATCAAAAAATAATAATAAATAAATCTCGTATACATGGATGTAATTAGGGGACAATTCTTTGTTTCCCGCGTTTCTAAGCTCCGATTCCGTCAGTTGTCTCTGTTAAATAATGAAATCGATGAATACAATTTTTGGACCAAAACATAAGATTCAGTTATTTAGTGTTAAATTACCTACAAACATGCTCAACTATCAACCATGCTTTGCTTTATTCCTCTTATTATCTTTTATCCATTTTATTATACTCATCTCCATACACATCAATTATTGACGTCGCTTGTCAAAGCTATCAGCTCCTGTTGCTTACATTGAGTAGCTTTGTGTAAATAGAATAGTGAAGGTAGTTAAATCAGCCGCCTGAGTGTAGGCTATAGCGTATGAAGAGAAAATGGCAAAAAATGGAAGACAGTAAGCAAACATTTGCGGCGTGTGAACTCGTGCGCAATAAACCGCTAACTGGTTGTTATTTCGATGCACACATTTTTATTAACATATTTTTTGAAACAACAAAGCTAACAGCGCTTTTATGCATCGCTCAACCGATGCTTCAAATTATGCAGAATAAATTGAGTGTAAATGACAACGCACAAAGACTTGTTGTGGTTTACTTTACATTTATTTATACAAGTATTCAATACCGAAATTCTTTAGTGCCGAAATTTCGGGATTGCAAAGAATTTTTCGGGATAGCAAAAAGTTAAGTTTTTAGACATTAGTTATGCAATTTTTATTAATTTAAAAGTAAAAATTTTGAATATACGAAATCGGGATCCCGAAAATCACAACGATTTTTAGTGTCAATTAAATAAAAAAAAGTAAATGTTAGATGTGTTCAAAATTATTTATTAATTTTTTTTAATTATTTATTAGCAAAAAATTTTAATACAGATGTCGAAATTATAAATTGGAGATTTTCGGGATTAAAAAATGTTATGTTTAACTGTTTTAAAAATTAATCTGAAATTTTCGGGATTTCAAAACTAAAATAAAACTAATTTAAATTTACTAAAACAATTTTGTGTTTAAATGTATTTAAAAATTAATGTTGCCATTGAAAAATCTAAAAAATTATCGGATTTTTTTCGGGACTAAAAAATTTTCTGTTTAAAAATTTNAACCATATCGGGATTTTCGGGATTACAAAAATTTTTAGTTTAAGTTTTTTAAAAAATTGTATGTTTATTTAAAAATTAATTTTGCTATTAAAAACTGTAAAAAAAATTATCGGGACTACATCCCGGAATTTTCGGAATTAAACAAATTTTTAGTTAAAATTTATTTAATAGTAAGAATTTATTAGTCAGAAAGTAATACAAAGTCAAAAACAGTGAAATATAACGGCTATTTGTTTGACTTGAAATGTCAAATAAGTCAAGTTTTTAGTATGTACTTGCCGCAGCAGTACTTAGTGCCTTTATCATGAAAATAAATATAATCACACATAATATATACATATGTATGTAAGTATGTCGGGTATGCCTCTTTTTTTTTAATTGTCAACAGTAAAATTTTCAATATCGACAGCCAAAACACCGTTCAGCGATTTCATTGTTAACTTTACTTCTCTCGCACCTCCCACATGTTTACACCAAATTCGGCGAGACACCTGAGTCGTCAGTTGTTTACATTATCACTGTTTTGGCATCTCGTTGACACGTTGTGCCTTTGCACCTTTGCACCTTTCGCCTTGCCACACTTACAAACCTATGCATATAAGACGCTGTGACACTCTACCTTCCACCTTTCAAACATATTGGTTTGTCTAACTCTGACTTACAGCGCTTCCGCCACAGTTTCGAAACTGCGTTCATTCATACTTTGCTCTCGAATTTATTATTTCTATGCTTTGTGTCGCACTTTGCGCTTTTATAATGTTAATTCCCGGCATATTTACATAATTTTACATTTATCGTTTACGAAATTAACGCGTTCCGACACTTGCATTTTGTGTTGTTGGAGAAGACCGCCAGTTGAAGTTGGCGCCTGTGAGCGCGGTAGAGATGGCAATATACAGCTGATGCTAAGCAAAATGTAAGCACATTGAACACATGAATTTTTGTATTTTTTACTTAGAGGGTGCAACAACCTTGAAGTAAACCGAATTTCGGTTCCGCACTAAAAAAAAAATGTATGAAGTCATCAGTGAAGTTTCGAAACAAATAATAAAGTCTGGTCAGCTGATTCCGAATTTCAACAGTCGTCCGCACTAAGCCATTCATCGTGTTCTTATAATTAATAATAAGCAGATAATATTCTTCGTTGAACTTAAACTCTGTTCCACATCTTCAATGTTCTTTTAAGAAATTTTCGAAAATTTTCGAAATATTTCGTAAAGCAACTTCATTCACTGCGAGGTTTTTCCTCTATCCAAATCGTCTTTGTCATTAGTCCAAATCGTAACTTCTCTGTCTGTACTCTACTTACGCACTTCCTTTTTAAAGTATTTATTTTGGTTAGTCATCCAGATCCCGGAAAGTTACTCGCCTTATATGGTGCAGTTACGACGCCAAGACAAAGAGTATAGAGCCAAAGAAAGAATCATCATCTTAACTTATACCTACCAAACCAACTTAATAATGACAGGAGTGGAACGTACTCCGAGGCCTGACAAGCTTTTAACAGAATGGAAGTCTTGTTGTTAACTCATCAGCCATTCTGCGTGGTATCACCTCTGCATATTCAGTTGACAGAATACCTTGACCCTCTGTCCAGGGTTCAACCAATTCATCTTTTGTCCTAAGCATGGTCCGTGTTAAGGAAAGAGACAAAAGTCCAATAGATTTTTCAGTAACCAGGCTTTCTTAGATTATTTGCTTTGGCTTACCTGATAAGACTAGTTATTTAGATCCTCATCTTGACTTTCCTTGTAAAACCACTCTTCTGACTTTTCTAATATGAGGTTTCTGAACAGAGAACTAATATCATATTTCACTTATTTCACTTATACTTTATTTTTATAATTCAATACCAAAAAAGTTATTTTAATGAATCATTTTTATCTTAACTCATCTGTTTTTTTTTTTTTTTGTACTTGCAGAAGGAGAATAAAAATGGCGTCATGTCACCAGAATCACCCGAACAGGAAGCCGATTTCACACTCACACCCCGCACTGAAGCCAAATATAATAAGATCGACGAAGACTTTCAGCTGATGATACAACGCACTCAAATGGGCGGAGCGAGCGCATCCGGACGCAATCTTGGTAATACGAATTACACACTGCCGGTATCGGTGCCGGTGCCGGGCGCTTACGGCGATGCCATGCTGCAGGCGAGCCCACAAATGTCCCACACAAATATAAGCCCACGGCCGTCAAGCTCAGAGACCGACTCAGGTGGGATGTCCTTAATAAGTTAGTACGGAGTAGTGTCGCGGCGCACACACCACCATTTTCTTCACTTATCGTTGTGTTCTGTTTATCGTTATTTTCTTGTTCTTGTTCTTGTTCGCTTTTTATTTTTATATTTTTTTGTTTGTTTTCTTACGGAATGTTTTTGTTCGTTGTTGTTGTTTTGCATTGAGTTTGTTTTTACTGTTTTTTTTTTTTAGTTTATTCATTTTTTTATTTTGCTTTCTACTTTTCATTTCGCTTTTTTGCAAGTTTTAATGTGTTTCATTATTTTATCGGCGCGCAAATGCATTTCTCGCTTTGTTTGTTTGCATGTATTTTGCTCGATTGTGTTGCCAATGTTGTTCGTTGCTTTTCATTCTTACTTTTTTGATTTTTCAATTACTTTATTAGTTGTAATTTCGTTTAGATTATTTTTGTTATATAATATTTTTTAATCGATTTTGGGTTTGAACTAAGCTCATTTTTGCTGGTTCTTAAAATATATTTTTAGGCTTTATATTCCTCGATATGACTGATAGCTTTTATTGTTTTCTGTTATAGTGTAGAATGGAAGTTATTGACATTTCGAAGACTCTTTGGTATGGCACCTAAGTTTATGATGTTTCTAGGTCCTAGCACAGCTTGTAAATTTTAAAATCAAGTCAATGAAATGTTTTTATTGATAGAAAAAATAAGCACTATATCTCATATCTTAAAGAGTTTACCAGTTTCGACTTGTGTGACAGCTTTTTTCAAGACATAACCTTTCATAAACACTATTTAGAGATATAAAATGAGATAAGACAACATACGGCTAGTTAAAAGATGAGAATTGCAAGGTGACCTAAAGTCTATTGTGCCCTTTCCTAAGTCACTACGACCCACATAGCTCCAGCATATTGATAAATTCGATTAAACTGCTGGATTGTAGTGAGGCGATGTATTCACTATTTGGACACATGTATCCAAGGGCCTTTATACTGCCTCTGCAGACTGCTAAGTAGTCAATTAGCAGATGGTAAATTAAGTTTTGGAAGTAACTGATATTTGAATTTCTGAGGAACTATTATGTAGCTTTCTAAAGGCTCAATAAAAATAACTTTCAAAAGAATAAAACATACTGGGAAAGTCATTGTTTAAGAGCTACAGAGGTGGCTTTGATTTCTTGACATGTTTCATATATGCAACAATTTGCTCTTTAAATATTATATTACTCAAGATCCGTCATAAAAAATGGAAGTTTTCCAAAAACTATTTCTATATTCTGAATAGGGTATATTAAGTTTGCCACGATGTCTGCGACACCGAAACGTCCGAGTCCCACAAAGTTTATATACATACTATATATGTAAGTGATTAGTGTAATGACCTCAGTCAGTTGTTTTCTTTTCCCTAGTGGCGTTGTAGTGGTTAGTGTAGTGGTTGGTCTGTCTGGATATATGCGAAATAGTCCCGAAGTTTGAAACGTATTGATCTGAAATTATGCAGATTTTGCTTTGTTGCAACCCCCGATATCGGACTACTACATCTTGTAAGAAATCTTGTACCTGTAAAGAGTTCGGCATCGTCACAGCCGAATTTAACATATTTTCTCTTATTACTTCTATATGATGCAATAATGTCAAACCTCCAAATTCCAGATAGCAGTCAAAAGTAAAATACATCCATATGTAATTGCAGTCACATCCGATAAATAAGCACCACATACAAAATTATGATCGAAAAGCACTAGCAATTTGATTTTAAACGATTTATGTCTGAATAGCTTTGAACTTTTAAAAGGCCATTGCTCAAAATGTAGTATATAGTATATAACGTATTTTTAAATTAAAGCAATATGAATTTAAAATTTTTACCACACAATTTTAATATTTTGCACATTACTTTGAATTTAATAATTTTTGCCCAACGTGCATTTTTTGCACGCCAAATCCGCATATATGTATATATAATACTTAGCCGGTGTACCTAATATTTGGCCCATAACTGTAGTTTGAAATCTGGGGTCAACAGCTTTATGCTGATCTAAATAGTTATGGCCGGGTTAGTCTGCTACCCAAAAACTACTAAAATGTCGGTTATAGACGAATTAGTCTGCTACCCAAAAACTACCAAAAAGTCGGTTATAGACGAGTTAGTCTATTAACCAAAAACTACCAAGAAGTCGGTTATAGCCGAGTTAGTCTATTACCTAAAAACTACCAAAAAGTTGGTTTAGAAATATAATATTGTAAAAATGTAGTCAATAGCTTTATGGTGATCTAGGCATTTAGTCGACTACCCAAAAACCTGGCATAAAAATTTGCAATATTATAATTTTGTATAAAAAAAATTAATTTTTCTTATTTTTATTTAAGGTTTATTGGTTAGCTTTTCTGAACATTTTATTTTATTTTTGTTGTTTTAATTTTGCTTAATTTATGCTTATATTTTCGTTTTATGCATTTCGTTGATTTCATTTCGTTCATTTTACTGCACGCACCGTTTCGAGTATGAGTTTCTTCCAGTAATGCAACAAAAACAAACAAATTCAAACACTGGAAAGAAACTATTTGTATTATATATATATTTTTTTGTATTTTTTTCTCTAAAGCAATGCAAAACGAAATTTTTCTCTTCTCTTTTCTTTTCTTTTACCACAACCACAAATCATCAAACAAAAAAATCAACTCACCAATATATCAAAATATATATATCTACATATAACTGTGTGTGTTTGTGTGTTTATGGTCAAACGATAAAACACCACTGCATATATATATATATGTAATACAACAACAAAACAAACAACAACCACACAGTTTATCCATCGGGTTCCATGTTGGAGATGTCAAACGGTTATCCGCATTCACATTCGCCGCTTGGTGGATCGCCCAGTCCGGGACCGAGTCCAGGTTTAGGTGGGCGTCAAATAAAATTTGCTTTAAATTGAAAATAATACCAAAGCCAAAGTTAAGCTCATACATTGTAGTGCCCATTAACAACTTACTAACATTTCACCACATTAAAAAATATTCTCAACACACATCATTAAATACTAACAACAATTAATGTCACATTATTAATTTTAAGGTCGAGAAATCGAAGCATCTCTCTCTGTGCTTACATATTTATATAATTACACCTTATAATACCCTTATATATTTATTTATAACTGTTTAATATTAAGTGTGATGAATTTCTTTATATATATTTACCAAAACCACTAACGACAGCAACATTACATAACACATGCTTGCCTCTAGGCACACGTTTTCACACCCCCTCCGCTAGTATGCCTTATTAACCGTTTAAATTGTATACTCACCTTCACCGCACCTCAAAATTCACCAACTAACCACTCCGTTGTGCTTACAACTACATTTTATGTTACTTGCATTTGACGTGTGAAATTCTAAAATTATTCTCTCAACCTCAAATTTATAGCTCATCACCTGTCACACAAGCAACAGTCACCGGGCGGCCAAAATGGACGCGCTTCCAATCTACGCCTCGTCTTACCAACACCACTTGCTCAAAATATGTCAACTGCAGATGAGATTAGCTACGGCGATGTGAGTAGTTGTAAATGAAGTTCTCTTCTGTTTTAAATATAACTTTGCTTTCATTTTGGTTGCCACCGAACAGCAGCGACACAATCAGGCATCACTCAATACGCCCGTGGTGACGCTGCAAACGCCCATACCCAATATGTCGGGCTACACATTTGGACCGCAAGATTTCTCTATGAGTTCCTCCGATGTTATGAGTTTACAGCCATGGACCACACATCAGGGACTCGTACAGCATACGGGGTGAGTAAATTAAGACATTAGAAACATTTTTTTATTTCAAGATTATGTGCGAAAGCAGCGGAAATATTGTTGTTGATGTTATTGTAGCGGCAAAAAACATTCCTGCAATAATTTCGAGGACTGACGCCGAGTTCACTGTCCTTTATAAGTTAAAATGTCTGGTTCTAGTAGTTGTTAAAGCGGCAGAAAACATTCCTGCAGTTTTTCCGAGGAATGGGTTTGAGTTGACGGTCCTTGACTGAATGAAAATCCTAGTCCGTTCCGTTTATATAGACCCTACTGAATACTTACATAGACGGTTATACGGAATTTTGAAAAGGTATGTTCGAAACTCGAGGGTGACTGTCCTATATTAAAAGAAATAGTTTCATCCCTTACTCATCCTCCAGTTTCGAGAATAATTTACCAATATTCAGTAGTTCCGCCAGTACATTCCACATTACCATATAGTAAACGTCTCGGAAAGCTGGGGTATGAAGCGAACAATATTTGCTCAATTCCTATGACAGCCGGTTCTACATTACCGGAATTGCCTCCAACTTCATCCGGACCAGATCAGTTGTTCAGCGATCTAACTCCGTTTAGATCGGCAAGATTAATAATCAACCAACCAAATAGATCGTTTTTGGTAAAAAATTTCGTACGCGCCATTGAAAGGGAGTTCTATTCTGTTATTGCTGATAGATGAAATTCTGAACAATTTAATGGTTAAGCTCGCAGCAGTACCTTTCCCGTAAACTTACCCAGAAAATAATATGTATGGCGAATATAGACAGGAACCTTGACTTTGTTTTTAACGACGGTTCGTAGCTATGTACGTGTATCTATGTTAAGGTCACGACTAAAAACTTATCTTTGTATTAAAAATTTCCACAACAGCCGGTACTATTTATTTGACTATTATTTCTACCTCAGTTTGGATCGGTATATACCTATACTGTGAAATTACAGAGGACTTAAGGCTTTATGCTGTGCTTCTTTGGATGGGTACACATTGCGAGAGCACTGGGAAGCCTAAAATTTACAAAATCACAACTCTGGATAATTACTTGCCAGATTAAATCTTCCAAAGATATTGATCAACTACACGAGACTAGACCACAGAGAACTGGTCCACACCTCAATAAATATTAAATTTGGGGACCTTGGGTCCACCGTTTTTACCGCTTACTCATACTTCTGAAAATGAAAAGAAAAAAATGTCTTACTGATTAAGCTCAGAAAGAAATGAAAATGCTTATTTTTCTAACTTCACGACTTTTTTCTCGCATACAGACTGCCCCATTTGGCCGTACCGAATAGCACACCACCGCCTGCCACCTCGCCCGTCTCGATCAAAGTCAAATCCGAGCCACAATCACCGCCACGCGATCTCTCCGGTTGCCACCATCAGCAGAATAGCAACGGTTCGGCGGGCAGCAGTGGCAGCGGTGGTGGCGGTGGCGGTGGCGGCAGTTCATCCAACAGCGTCTCCACTGCCAATGCACTCGCGCTTTCCAATATGAATGCGACGGCGGTGATAGCGGGCGGTAGCGGCGGCGTCAATTCGGCGTCCGAGCAGGCTGCCAATCTGAGTGTACTAAGTCATCCGCAACAGCATCTAGTGATGGGCGGCTCAAGGCCCTCCTCCACGGGACATTTAACGCCAACGCAAGGAGGTAAGCGTAAATTAAATTTTTTTTGTATTTTATTAATTTCATTTTATTTGCGCAACAAATATTTGGCAAGTTTTAATGCGCGCTAAGTGCTCTATTTACTACCAAGTGATGCTAGTTGACGTAATTCTCTTCCTAAATAACTAAAATTTTAAATGCTAGATTTTTAATTATATTAATTTAGTTTTTTTTTATTTCTTAATTTGTTT